CGCCTGGCCGCTATCTGAGGTGAGCGGCGCGGCCCCGGGACTTGGGCAAGCGACGCCCGGCGCCTGCAGCTGTCGGTAGCAGCAGCGCTGGGAGTGTGCAGTGCTCGCCGCGCTTCTTGTGTGCGGAGGTACATGGGAGCGGGCGGAACGGCCCGGTAACGCCTAGAAAGGAGCCCCGTGCGCGCAGCTCTGAGCACCGGTTTCGGGGCCTCACCGTAGCCCTTGCTTTCAGTAGTAGCATCCCGTACCGAATACTACAAACGCCTCAGAGGTCACCTATTTTTTATTCATAGGGAGTCTGTTAGAAATTTTTTGTTTGTTGTAAAGAGAACACATGCCTGTTAGAACAGCAAATATTTTCCCTGCCGTATGTGCTGAGGAAGGCTGGTAAGTGCTGTCAGCAGTAAGTTACTGTATGAACTTGTGACTTGATGGGAGCAGCTGTTTCTGTGCATTTGACACCCAGTACCTTCTTGTGCTTTTATCAGCAATTGCATGTCGTGTGCAGCCTTTCAGAAGGAAGACTGTACTTTTCTGTGCTACTGTACCATGTTAAGGTGTGATCTAAGTTCTCACTCTATGAAGGTAAAATGTCTGTGTAAAAGTAAACGTTACTGACACCCCAGGATTCCCCAATAACTTGTATTTAGGAGCTTCTATGAATTAAATTCAGCCAGTTGACTAATAAATAGAATTAGATCTTCCAGAGAAAGTAAATAATTACAGATTTTTAACATTTGCCCAATGCTTATCATGGTAATCACTTCTCCAAGCTTATTTTAGGATCTTTAGATGCCACAGGACAGTATAAATGCATATGTGTATTTCAGAAGTAATACTTCAGATCTTAAATTTTACAGCTAATTTTCTTCATTGGAAACAAACTGAGAAAATAGGAAAAAAACCCCAAGGATTTAAAAAGAAAAATAAGTGTTTAGATCAAAGCAGTGCAAACATATCAAAACTGATACTAGGCCAGTACAATCTATAGTCTTCAGTCGAGCCAAATAAAAAGATGGCTGACATATCCTTCAAAACACTTTTTTAGACATTATCTTCTTTAAAAAAACTGCAGTTACCTGCTTCATGTTTAAAATAGTTCAGAACAGAGGTATGAGTAAGTTCTGTAACTAGCTTATCACTCTGCTTATATTATTTAATTTCTTCCCTTTATCAGTATACTACATGAATAAACTGTAAGACAGTGTTTATTTGTTATAATTGGTTTAAAACTTAAACTAACCCTTACCTTATTGGATTCAGAGTTTGGAAATGTTAACCTAGAACAAGAAAGATGTTAACATTCATAATGAATGCTAACACTCACTAGCTCCATAAAAATCACTCCTAAGTCTGATGTGGGACAAATGACAGTTCAGAGTGCATGCAACTGCTTAATCATAACCTAATCAATCTTTTAAAATGTTTGTTCACTTCAGTTTGTGTGTTAACATGCCATTTGAAGTACTGATGTACCAGTAATAAAGATGTGATGCTTACTTTGTTTTCTGAACAGAACTAATACAGTATTTTGATGTATCACAGGTAAATTTTTGCATAACCTTATGGAGAAAAAGGACTTTGAAGCATGGCTTGATAACATTTCTATTACATTTCTTTCTCTGACGGACTTGCAGAAAAATGAAACTCTGGATCACCTGATTAGCTTGAGTGGAGCAGTCCAGCTCAGGCACCTCTCCAATAATCTAGAGATTCTCCTCAAGAGGGACTTCCTCAAACTTCTTCCATTGGAACTTAGTTTTTATCTGTTAAAATGGCTTGATCCTCAGACCTTACTCACGTGTTGCCTCGTCTCTAAGCAGTGGAATAAGGTTATAAGTGCCTGTACAGAGGTATGGCAGACTGCATGTAGGAATTTGGGTTGGCAAATAGATGACTCTGTTCAGGATCCTTTACATTGGAAGAAAGTTTACCTAAAGGCTATCTTAAGGATGAAGCAACTGAAGGACCACGAAGCCTTTGAGACATCCTCTTTAATTGGACACAGTGCCCGAGTATATGCACTTTACTATAAAGATGGACTTCTGTGTACAGGTAGGAAGGACAGAAAACTTGGAGTCTTACAATTCTTTGTTTTCTCCCCTTGCCCCACCATATGACTAATGACAACTTGCTTTTCCTTTACTAGATTATTTTCATAGTGCTAACACAGTTTGAGTTAATCAAAATTGCCTTTTTTTTTTAAATTTCTGATACATCTGGCACACTAATAAACTCACTAGTCACTTTAATAGGAAAACAAAGGAGACCAGTTTCTTTGTTGGTTAAAAAAAAGGAGTAACAGTAGGTATCATGCTTCAGATTAGTAAGCTTATTTGCAAAGTACCCTCTTGTTTGTTCGTATGTTAAGATGGTTACTAGAAACCAACAACTAGACTCTAGCCTGTCTTTCACTTTTCTACTCATTGGGGAATGTAAATATACAGGAAGCAGCAGCATCAAAACTTTCTGAAGTGGAACTTGTGCTAAAACCACCAGGAGAAACAATAGGTGTAAGGGTCCAGGGTTTTATTCTGCTCTCTGAAGACAGCAGTTTGGACTTACTGTTAGGAGTGTTAAAAAAAACACCAACAAAAACACACAAAAAAACCAAACTTCGGAGAGAGAGTGGAAACTGGCAGGTGATGGGGTCTGGTATTCTTCTGCTGTCTTTCAAGATTTGTTGGACTCCTTTCCTACCTGAAATGAACTTAAGTATGGTCAGTGGCTCTGCATACCTCAGAGTGATGCATCATGGGTACCTTCCATGTGTCTGCTGAAACAGACTCTCAATCAGTGGCAGTGCTAGAATTTAGGGAAGGAGTTGAAAGGGGATGATGAAACTTGAAGACCAGGCATCTAGTAGCTTAATTAACATGAAGACAAGAGGCTTTGCTGTAGTGTTGAGACTTGAAACTTGGGCTTATTCCCCATTCAAGCAGCTTGAATGTACTATTTAATGAGAAAAAGTTCAACAAAGGGAAATGTAGAGCTCTGCACCTGAGGAGGAACAACTCCATGGCACCAGCATATGCTGAGGGCCACCCAGTTGAAAAGCAGCTTAGCAGAAAAGGACCTTGGGGTTCTGCTGGACACCAAATTGAACATGAGCCACTAACACACCTGTGCTGAAAGAAAGCTAACAGTATCCTGGGCTGCTTTAGCAGTGTTGGCAGAAGGTGGAGGGAGGTGCTCCTTTCCCTCCACCCAGCACTTGTGAGGCCACACATGGGAGTTCTGTGCCCAGTTCTGGGCTCTTCAGTACAAGAGAGACATGGACACACTGGAGAGTCCAACAAATGATCATGAAGATGAAGGACTGGAACATCTCATATGAAGAAAGGCTGAAAGAGCTGGGACTTTATATTCTAAAGAAACAAGGACTCAGGGACAAGCTTATCAGTGAATAAATACTGAAAGTGAGGGTGCAAAGACGATGGAGCCAGGCTCTTTTCAGTGGTGTCCAGTGATGGGACAAGACGCAGTGGACATGAACACAGCAGGTTCCCTCTAAAACACTTCTGTACTGTAAGAGTGATTGAGCACAGGTGGCCCAAGGAGATTGTGGAACTTCCATCCTTACATATATTCAAAAGCTGCTCATGGTCCTGGGCAACTGACCCTAGGTGGCCCTGCTTGAGAAGGGGGGGTTGGAAGAGTTGACCTCCAGAGATCCCTTCCAACCATAACCATTCTGTGATACCATGAAAATACTATATTTAAGACAAACATGGAATATTAGTATAGCACTGGAAATACTGTTTACTCTTTGCTTCCCATTACCCTGTTCTTTTATATTCTAGGATCTGATGACTTGTCTGCAAAACTGTGGGATGTAAGCACAGGTCAGTGCATATATGGTATCCAGACACACACTTGTGCTGCAGTGAAGTTTGATGAACAAAAGCTTGTAACAGGATCTTTTGATAACACAGTAGCCTGTTGGGAATGGAGCTCTGGGGCAAAGACACAGCATTTTAGAGGACATACCGGTGCAGGTATGTTGAACTTTTCAATTTGTAATTTCACTAGTTAAGTGACATACATCATCAGCAAACAAATTGTAATTTAAGTTACCTCTTTGCATGATAGCTTATTTTTTTAGGCTCTGTCCCAGGTCACCTTTGAGGAAGTGGGTGAAAGTGGCCAGAACATATCTAGATCTCTCTGCCCTTGAATGCCAAAGCTTAGCCATATGGTGTTTTACAGTTGCATTAAAATAATACTAAATGCCATGGTTTTTCAATACTTTCCAGTCTACCAAAAAGATGCAGAGGAACAAGAAGCACATGGCAATAGCAGTTCTTTATATCCCTTAAGTGGAGGTGGGCTTACAGCAAAGAGCACAATAAGACTTGGGAATCTGTATTTGCATTTCCCTTGTAACTAACTTCTGTCCTGTACTGCAAAATATTCTCAACTCAGCTGTAGGTCTATTCTCCTGTGAGTAACAAGATGTTTCAAATGTACTAATCCTGCTGGAATTGACTGACTAGAAATTGAAAAATATAAACTAGCTTAAGTTATGCTTTGCCATAATCCAACCATAAAGGAACCATGCTGCATGTGTTTCTAATTTGGACAAAAATCAGTAAATTTGCAGTGCAAGCTTAGAAATCTAGAGCAACAATTCACCTGTACAGTTCAAGAATAAGAGTTAAAGCTGTAGTAGCATATGAATTTAGAGGCTATATGACCTAGTGAGTGTCTCACAGAAAAAATGTATGCATATAGACTGATACTTTTTTTTTAGTACTCTCTTTGCTTGTAGTTTTTAGTGTGGATTACAACGATGAACTTGATATTCTGGTCAGCGGCTCTGCAGACTTCACTGTGAAAGTATGGGCCTTATCAACAGGAACGTGCCTGAATACCCTTACTGGACACACAGAATGGGTCACTAAGGTGAGAATGTCTTGCAAAACATTTGCAGTAAGTTTCTATCAGGTGTTCTGAATTTCTGTTTTCTAATCTTAATCCTGCATGGAGGTGTGGAATCTGAAGAACATCAGGAAATACTACAAAATAACATTTCAGCAGAAAAAATACTTGAAAGAAGCTATAATTAAACCTCTCAGCTGGAATAATAATAGGAATCAGTGTCTGATTCAAAGACTGAATAAAAACAACAGTTCTGAAAGAAAGCTAATTTAAAATTATATTAAAAACCTAATGATCTTGATAACCAAAATCTGGGCATGAAAGGTGTTCTAAAGTCAACAACACCTTTTCTTATGAGTATTTCAGAACTTGGAGGTTGGGGGGTTGATTCTAAAGGGGAAGTATATTTGTTCACTTATTAATACAGTAAGTTGTCACTAGTAGGAACAAGTGTGGACTGCAGTTTCCCTTCAGTTGCTGTCACAGTTTGTATTGCCTCTGAGGACAGCATGCAGATTGTCCATGGAGCAAAAAATCAAAATGAAAGTTCACTTATTTGACACCATCAGCATAAATCATTATATCCTTTAATTACAGGTAGTTTTGCAGAAGTGCAAAGTCAAATCTCTTATGCATAGTCCTGGGGATTATATCCTTCTAAGTGCAGATAAGTATGAAATCAAGGTACGTACCATATAGCGTACATACATAATTTTGGTACCCAGTAGAACAAAATGCTTGAGGGGTTTCTATTGGTACTGGTGCTGTTTAACATCTTTGTCAGCAACGTGGACAGTGGGATCAAGTGGAACTAGATGATTTTAGGTCCCTTCCAACCCAAACCATTCTGTGACCCTATTTACAAATAATGTAGTACCCTATTTTCTCCCATATTCCCTGCTTGTAAAGTTGTGTACAAGACATGCAACTCTTTGGAAGCTTAACTTTTCAATGCTTTCCTTCAAATTTAGATTTAAATTAAATCTCTACATGAATAGTAATGCAAAACATAAGTGCTTTCAGTGCATACCTAATATTCTAACTTGACAGGGAAGTACTTAACTGCAAATACAGTTGGGAACTTTTGGGCTGGAGAGTAAATAGTTTGTGGCCATAGAAGCCTTCATAATGTTGTGACATTTCTGTCCAATTGGATGGTTGACTTTTTTTGCTGTCTGTAAAGCACCCATTTTCACTTGCATTTTTTAGGCTAGAAACATCTATTCCAACAATACTGTAAAACAAATCACACAATTAATGTTCCTAGATAACAGAGAGAAATATCTCTGAAATAGCAGGTGTGTTTACCTGATACTTAAAAGAGACTGTGAGGCTTGCTCTATTTGTGTAACAATTTACAATGTGAATGTTTTATGGTCTTAAACCATGTTTTAATTGTAGATTTGGCCTATTGGAAGGGAAATAAACTGCAAGTGCTTAAAAACACTCTCTGTTTCTGAAGATCGCAGTATCTCTCTACAGCCCAGACTGCACTTTGATGGTAAATACATAGTGTGCAGTTCAGCACTAGGATTATACCAGTGGGACTTTGCCAGCTATGACATTCTCAGGTAAATCTTTCAGTTTAAGACCTAGTCTTCTTTAATTAAATAAGAAGTAGAACATATTAGTTTTAATAGCTAACTTCACATGTAGGCCAAAAGATTCTTGATAAAAACCTCAATAAGCATCTTACTTTACACATATTGCTAGGTTTAATTATAATTTATCATCTGTTAATAAAAATTATTTTATTGCTGTTTTAGTTCTGGCCACAGGCTAGTCCTCTTTCATATAAGCTGCAGAGTTTCAATGTAGACTTAAATCAGATTGCAGTGCTGTAGTTGTTAAGGTGAAACTAGTGACTAAAAGTTAATGTTGCCATGGAGACCGTTCTACAGAGAACCAGGTGGCCATTTCTGGGGTACCTTTGATGGGACAAGAAATAGCACTACTGATAGCACTAATCTGTCATTCTGCATAATGGTGTGACATGATAGCAAAATGTATCAGGCTGCAGGAAGGAATCAAACAGGATGGCATTCTGTTTCTATAAGAATGGGGCTGTATGTATTAGAAATAGCAGCATCAAAGATTAATTTAAAGAAAAAAAAAAATTGCATTTAGAACTTTTAGCAGACTTAATTGAAATGGCCTGAATATTTGTAGATTATTCTACCACAGGAAGATCTACACCTAAACAAGTGTTTCTTATCAGTAAGAATAACAGTATTTTCACCTCTTGGTCTATCCTGCCATCTTTCAGAAAAGATGTTTTCTTACTGCTGAGAACAGATTTTCACATCCATACATTTTTGTGCCTCCATTCTGTGCTTTATGTCATGCTGTGATAAATGCATAGTAAGTTAGGGAAAACCTATTCTCTTTAATTTATTTCCCAAGCTTTATTTAAGGCAACAATAATATCCTAAAGGCATAGGGGAACAAATCCTTTTATTTCAGTAAAACGGCATTTTGTTAAGGACTAATCTTGAATGATTTGGCTTATTTTCTTACCACAGGAAGACATTTCTGTTTTATTTCCAGCTTTTAAAAGAGTGGTCAAAAAAATAGTAAGAGGTTTTATCTCTTAATATAAAAGATACTGAAGCATGAAATTCATATGGAAATTTGCTGTAAAACACAATAAATTTGCTCTTTTGTCTTTATCGGAATCAAGACTCTTAATTCCCTTGAGCTATGCAGAATCCCTTTCAAGCCCTAAACTTATGCTCAGAAGGGTCTGTCCTGAATGCATGCATCCAGAACTGAAACCACACGCCTGACTGCAGCTAAGTGTTCGGTTGCTTAATTTGAAAAGTTTGCATCCAGTTCTTTCAATATCCTTTTTCAGAATTACAAGTTTAGACACTTATTTTCGACAGACACATTAGATATTTTGGTAATGTGAGTTCACGACTACATTGTGACACAGTTTCTAACAATGTTGTCTTGTCTTCTAGGGTTATCAAACCTCCTGATTTCTCAAATGTGTCCTTGCTGGCTTTTGGAGAGATATTTGCTCTGCTGTTTGATAACAGATACCTGTATATAATGGACTTGAGGACAGAAAAAATGATAAGCCGCTGGCCTCTACCAGAGTATAGAAAATCAAAGAGAGGTTCAAGCTTTTTGGCTGGTGAAGTGTCTTGGTTAAATGGACTAAATGGCCAAAATGATACGGGCTTGGTTTTTGCCACCAGTATGCCAGACCATAGTATCCATTTGGTGTTATGGAAAGAACATGGCTAAAAAGCTCACATACGCAGACTCTTCAGGAATATATGGACTATCAGCAGTGTGTCCATAAAATGAGACTTTGCATGAACCAAAGTTGCACACCCAATGGTATCATCATGCAATGCACAATCATGTACTTTTATTTGGGCATTTGGGAATGGGTTGTTTTGGACATAATGCAATACAGCATGCTAACAGTATTCAACACAAAATTTTGTCTCATGTAGCTTGTAACATTTAAACCATTCAAATCCACCATCAAGTCTGAAATGAAGTAGTGGTTGACCTGACTTCTGACCTATTTTTTGTTGTTGAAACAAAAGGTGAAGCTACTATTTTAGAACTATAGGCTTTTGTACATGTAACAGCAAATACTTGTTACAGTGCATGGCTGCTTGATTTGAATGAGAAACTAGCAAACTCCTTTTCTCTCCAGTATCAGTCTCTTTAATATGTTTTTTCCTTATGATAACTTTAAATACTTAGCCTTTGAAATAGCAGAATCAAATGAGTCCTTTAACTAGGATCATATGCTAAGAATAATATGTTTAAGTTCAGGAACATGTCAACATGAACTTTCCTAAGTGAGAATAAGCCAACTTTTCACCTACCTGATAGATTAACCTTAGACAACTTCTGACATTATTTATCATTTTTGCTGACAATAACTCAAGAGTGGCTTGATCAGCCTTTTATAGTCCATATTTCCTATTGTTTGTGTAAGAATGTAACTTAGGTCACAGATCTATAGAAATATAATGAATGGGAAGATTATGTTCAGTCTCTACATCAAAAGTCACATTAAATTATGTCCAGCAGCTGTTCACTTTTTCCAAGCATTGCAGTTAATCATGCACTTAAGAGTAGTTGCTACATCTAGATTTGGAAAGCAGGGGCAAATAACTGCTAACGCCACATCTCCAGGGAAGAAAAAAAAAAAAAAATCAATGAAAAATCTGAAGAAAAGCATAGGAGTAGAAAAAGGTCTTTAGCTTTGATCATCATAGGAGACCTGATGTATGCAAGTTAACTATTGAAAAGCAAGTTCCTATTCACATACTTGTGGTATTTGACATGTATTTAAAGGCTGTATCTATGACATCACATGCTTTAGAAACGCTTTAGGTTGGTTTCCCTTCCTCCCTTATAATAAAATCTCCCCTTAATGTCTTCTTTTTTTTTTTAACACAATTTAAAAACATACATTTTAATGATGATCACCTCATGTCCTTGGAAAGATAAAACTGCCTAGCATTACTCTTGTTAGTATGATTTTTTCTTCCCACTAACCAAGCAGACCTTATTTCATCCTTAGTATTGAATGAAGGGCAAGGTTCCCAAATGTATGCAGTATGACTTACACCAATGGCTTGGGGTGAGGAGGTGGTGGTGTTGTGAGTGAAGTGGTAGGAACAGCATGAAGTCCCAGTGCAGCAGTGTCTCTTGAATACAAAGGTTGGATCTTGAGTATTCAGTTTTTTGCCTTAATTGACACTAACTTGCCTTGAAAATGTGTTTGTAGTCAAGGGTTTTATCAATTAGAAGCCAAATTCACAGCTCTCAGTTCAAACCACACTGACCAGGGCACAAATTATGATCTTAGAGCTTTTACTGTCTTACTCTACATGAAACAAAGCTTTTAATAACTTGTCTTGAAACCCAACTCTCATGCTTCATTTGTGAGTAACTGTATTGCGCGTGTGTGCAGTAACTCAGCTTACTCTAAAGAAGCCATGTGATGATGGGCCATCTATACACTCTACTCCCAGCAAGTTTCCAACAATGCAAATTTGGAGAGAAAGGAGAAACCCTGGCAAGGGGAAGGAGTCAATATACAAGAGAAGCAGGAATGGTATTCCGAAAGTCTTCAACAAACCAGACAAGTGGGCTGACAGAATTCTCACATAGTTTAACCAACAAAAATGCACAACCCTGCACCTGAGAAACCCTCACTCCACACAACAGGCAGGCTGGAGCTCACCAGATGGAAAGCAGCTTCCTGATTAAGAACTCTAAAATTCTCCTTTACATTGTCCCAGAGTATGCAAGCAGAAAAGCATGACGAGAAGCCTCCAAAACACCCTACACTGCTCTTCCACCCTTTTAGTTAAAAGAAGTTTTAGCCTGTTACACAGCAGGCTATTATTATAAACACAATTAGCAAACAGTTATTTACTGACTGACTTAAAGACTTCCAAGTAAAAGTTCCCCTGGACATTTGCTAGTCAATGATACTAACCCAGCTCCTTAAGGGCACAGGTATGTGCCACCACAAAACAGATTAATAAATGAAAATACCATACATACTGGTGTAGAAATGAGAAAACCATACCTGCACTTCACATGCACTTCTCCCTGTCACACACTGAATATCACACAATCACTATCCCCAGATGTCCCTTCATAGGCAAGTTCTAATACATTGCCACATCAGTACAACACACACAGCTTTGGGGGCTTAGCAAACATTACAATAAGATAAAATAAAGACTGATATTGTGAAACTACAGTGAGCAAATGTTTTTTGTTTGCTTTCCATCTGACCCTTCAACAGAAGTTAATAACTACTTGACACTATTTTAAGATAAGAGTTTGGAAAAGGTGCAACTGCTACAGGAATGGTATTCCGAAAGTCTTCAACAAACCAGACAAGTGGGCTGACAGAATTCTCACATAGTTTAACCAACAAAAATGCACAACCCTGCACCTGAGAAACCCTCACTCCACACAACAGGCAGGCTGGAGCTCACCAGATGGAAAGCAGCTTCCTGATTAAGAACTCTAAAATTCTCCTTTACATTGTCCCAGAGTATGCAAGCAGAAAAGCATGACGAGAAGCCTCCAAAACACCCTACACTGCTCTTCCACCCTTTTAGTTAAAAGAAGTTTTAGCCTGTTACACAGCAGGCTATTATTATAAACACAATTAGCAAACAGTTATTTACTGACTGACTTAAAGACTTCCAAGTAAAAGTTCCCCTGGACATTTGCTAGTCAATGATACTAACCCAGCTCCTTAAGGGCACAGGTATGTGCCACCACAAAACAGATTAATAAATGAAAATACCATACATACTGGTGTAGAAATGAGAAAACCATACCTGCACTTCACATGCACTTCTCCCTGTCACACACTGAATATCACACAATCACTATCCCCAGATGTCCCTTCATAGGCAAGTTCTAATACATTGCCACATCAGTACAACACACACAGCTTTGGGGGCTTAGCAAACATTACAATAAGATAAAATAAAGACTGATATTGTGAAACTACAGTGAGCAAATGTTTTTTGTTTGCTTTCCATCTGACCCTTCAACAGAAGTTAATAACTACTTGACACTATTTTAAGATAAGAGTTTGGAAAAGGTGCAACTGCTACACCGTTACACAAGAAAGCAACATAATTCAACTTACCCATCACACAACGGACTAGAATTCACCAAATCTGTAGTTTTCGTGAATGTAGAAACAAGAGGCTTCAAGGTCCCAGTGAAAAAACAAACCAATTATGTATCACAAGTAACTAATCATCTATCTGTCTTGTCACCTTTTCAGTTCCCATCGGTTGCTTTTTCTTTAGCATCCATCCCGTGCCTCCGTTTTAAAGCTCCCCATCATGACTCAGCACTTCCCACTTAAGTAATTCAGAACAGCTGTGGGTTACAAAAGAGGGATCAGCCTTCTTCTTAAACTTATATGTCTCAAAAACCCAGCTTAACAGTAATTTGGATCAGCAAAACTCCCAACAGCTGAATAGTGTTAACAACACATCACCACTTTAACAAACAACATTTCAAAGAATATAAGGCATTCATTTTTTTTTTTACAACTGAAACTGGTAGATTTAGTTCAATTACTTTCATCATGCATTCGTTTACATTTTACTCCGTGCATAAAAATTTTATACCCAGTAACATACAAACTGCAAGAATTAAGCAGTTATCTTTAATACAAATGACAGTAGTTTTATTTTTTTGTACAGAAGTTGAAAACCATCTATAGACTTTTGCATTATTTGAATCAGTTGAGAAATACTGCTTTATTTTTTTTAATTGAAAACAAACTCATTTTACATTTTCCTGAAGAGGTATATCATCTATATTGATCTTTTATATCCTTAATGACTCATGGCTCTGCTACAAATTTCCCCTTAAGAAATAACTCTAAAAAGTGACAGTTCCAGTGATACAGCTGGTGTGTTCTCTTATCCTGCATCCCTGATAATAATGAATTACAGTGCTCATGCCAATGCAAGTCTTCATCTCGGATATGCTGTCCCAAGCCATCTTTTAATATGCACCATTAAGCACAGCTGTTTTTTTTTTTATCCACCAAGTACTTCAGAGATACAAATAATGAAAACCCAATTAATTCCTTCTTCGGGTAGTTTACACATTCATTGTACTAGATAAAACATACATGAAGATGGGAAAAGAAAAAGTGAGAAAGCTGGAAATCAGTACATTAACTTTCTAATTTCAGCATGGTCACTTCCTAGGTCTTGAGTAATGATCTTTCATAGTTACAGGCATCTAAAAGAGCTGTCTTCTATCTCTCCCAGCTTACAAAATTGCAGTAGCAATTTTACCTGAGGAAACCAACTATTAACCATTACTGTGGACTATTACAAGGTAGCATCTATCAGCCCACAAATCAAATGCATTTACCTTTGTACAGCACATCAAAAGGCTGTTCTCCTAAATCTCTGTAAGACGTAAACTTCATGTGGAAGTGATTTTAATATGATCTTTAAATTATATCCTCTGCTGTCCCACACTGGGTAGCTCTCCACTTTCCCTCCTCATAACTGAGGTTTCACTTTTGAGCTTACAGTATGGTTTGATACAGCACCTTATTAACATTCATGATTAATGATGAGTTGTATCTCCACAGCGTTGTATCTCTGATGAGAGATTCTCTGGGAAGGTTACCTTGAAGGGGCACCCGACAATGATAAATGAGAGCAACATCCATGGGAACATTCACACTGTTCCCATAAGCACGAAGGACAGAGTGGACTGAGGTTTGAATCACCTTTCGTGGATCAATTATCATTTTCCTGGGATTGATTACATCTTTCCTATCAGGCTCTCTGTGAACATGCTGTAGTATGTTAACACCCGGCACTGTATTCCAGGACGAAATGTTGAACTCGTGAGTAGATACAGTTTCTGGGAAGATATGGTTCTCAAAGAGGAAAATGCCAGTCCCTGGGTTTTGCTCCTCAAGACTGTTCATCATTGTTTTCCAGTCTGGGTGCTTAAGGGGAAGGATTATTTCATCAGCATCATTAAGAACCACAAACTTGCTCCTCTGCATGTTACGGTATATGCAGTCATTTAGAGCTGTGATTTGTCCATAGTAGCCAATGTCTTTTGCATCCATAGAAAAGTGCCAATTAGAAGAAACCTTGAGGTGTGAGTTTATTGGCCAGGGAATTATCTCTACAGTTCCTTCTTCCATATAAAAGTTCAAGACTTTCTCCATCAGGTGGCTGCAGTTGTTCTTGTAGATCACCACTTTTTGTACCCCAAGAATCTTGTACATTTCCACACTCTGTATAAACTGCAGGACATTGTTGTAATTTCCAAACATAGCAGAAATGCATACAGTGAAGTCAACAGAAAAGGTCTCAGCCTTGCGGTTTTTTATTTCAAACCTTGGCAGCTGGTCAATATTTCCATGTGGAGACTGATCAATTGATACATGTGTTGGATCACAGTTTTCGGGTTCCAAACACACTATATCCGCTGCACCATATGGGAAACCAAATCTATCTGCATGAACATCAATCTTTGCTTTTGATACATATATCTTTCCATTGGGCTGGCAGCAGAACCAGCAGTATAGTTCTTTTACATCTTCATGGTGAACGATCCCAATCACACGAGTGACTTTGCTTTCTCGGTCATCAAAGTAGGGGGAGATAATAAAAGTTCTGTTATCTTTTAACGGTGTTATCGTGCTATTGGTAATTTTACCTCTACATCTGCTACTTTCTTGAATTATTTTTGGCAGGTGTGAAAGTCTCTGTAACCTAAGATAAGAAATTGTGACCATTGAAGTTAGAGTAAAAATGCACACAGCAGCAGCAAAGTAAGATTTTTTCCCACCACACAACATTTTGAGTGTATCTAAATGTGGATGCAAATTTCTTTGTTCTTGCACTTTATGCTGCCACATCTGCAGAAAAGAAAATATGTAGTATGAGATAATATTGACTAATTATCATTGCTTAAGAATTTCATAAACAAGATAGGGGACAGATTTCTATCAGTGTGCACTGACTTAATAAGAGACCCAGCTACTCTGCTTTTACAAAAAATCACTCCCAGAACACACCTTTAGTGGGACGGACCATACTGTATGCAACACTCTGAATGCCTTTACATGACATAGGTGTGGAACAGTTTCTGTACACGGTTGGTCCTACAGGAGAATATGATAGAGATCTATATATAGGAGAACAAGAAGCCATTATTAATTATTTTCTATAACCCAAATTTTAGAATATCCAACTAAATAGGCAGTAATTTTTAAAGCAAAAGAGAAGTGCTGGTTTTCTTCCCCCACTACTCAGTGCATATGTATATTATACACAAAAAACCCTCAACCAGTCTTCCCACTGACAAGTTAAGGGCAGGTATATAAATCAAATGTACATAGGATTCACCGAGTTCATAAAAAACATCGCAATTGGGGAATGCACATGATGGTTCAGATGCAATCTCTACTGTACAAATTCTGTAGCTTGCAGTTCAACACAGACAAAACAAAATATACAGAGGATGGACAATTCATACAATTCAGCTGAAGACCGATCAAGTATATGGGGGTATATAGCTTATTCTGAGCTACCAGCTCTTCCCAAGTTAGCACTGTACAAGGCAGGGCTTGTAGGGAAGGTTGCCTCATATGCTTGCTAGAGATCTGCGCCTCCTCGCACTGCATCAACACTGACTCAGCTCCTGCGGTTTTTTATTTCAAACCTTGGCAGCTGGTCAATATTTCCATGTGGAGACTGATCAATTGATACATGTGTTGGATCACAGTTTTCGGGTTCCAAACACACTATATCCGCTGCACCATATGGGAAACCAAATCTATCTGCATGAACATCAATCTTTGCTTTTGATACATATATCTTTCCATTGGGCTGGCAGCAGAACCAGCAGTATAGTTCTTTTACATCTTCATGGTGAACGATCCCAATCACACGAGTGACTTTGCTTTCTCGGTCATCAAAGTAGGGGGAGATAATAAAAGTTCTGTTATCTTTTAACGGTGTTATCGTGCTATTGGTAATTTTACCTCTACATCTGCTACTTTCTTGAATTATTTTTGGCAGGTGTGAAAGTCTCTGTAACCTAAGATAAGAAATTGTGACCATTGAAGTTAGAGTAAAAATGCACACAGCAGCAGCAAAGTAAGATTTTTTCCCACCACACAACATTTTGAGTGTATCTAAATGTGGATGCAAATTTCTTTGTTCTTGCACTTTATGCTGCCACATCTGCAGAAAAGAAAATATGTAGTATGAGATAATATTGACTAATTATCATTGCTTAAGAATTTCATAAACAAGATAGGGGACAGATTTCTATCAGTGTGCACTGACTTAATAAGAGACCCAGCTACTCTGCTTTTACAAAAAATCACTCCCAGAACACACCTTTAGTGGGACGGACCATACTGTATGCAACACTCTGAATGCCTTTACATGACATAGGTGTGGAACAGTTTCTGTACACGGTTGGTCCTACAGGAGAATATGATAGAGATCTATATATAGGAGAACAAGAAGCCATTATTAATTATTTTCTATAACCCAAATTTTAGAATATCCAACTAAATAGGCAGTAATTTTTAAAGCAAAAGAGAAGTGCTGGTTTTCTTCCCCCACTACTCAGTGCATATGTATATTATACACAAAAAACCCTCAACCAGTCTTCCCACTGACAAGTTAAGGGCAGGTATATAAATCAAATGTACATAGGATTCACCAAGTTCATAAAAAACATCGCAATTGGGGAATGCACATGATGGTTCAGATGCAATCTCTACTGTACAAATTCTGTAGCTTGCAGTTCAACACAGACAAAACAAAATATACAGAGGATGGACAATTCATACAATTCAGCTGAAGACCGATCAAGTATATGGGGGTATATAGCTTATTCTGAGCTACCAGCTCTTCCCAAGTTAGCACTGTACAAGGCAGGGCTTGTAGGGAAGGTTGCCTCATATGCTTGCTAGAGATCTGCGCCTCCTCGCACTGCATCAACACTGACTCAGCTCCTAGCATTGTTTGGAACTTTTGCCCTTGCAGGAACGGATCAACACCCCTGAGTACCTGGATGGCCAAAGTCTTCAGCAGCACTCACATGCTATCAGGCTGCTCATGCCACTCTCAAACACCAATTTCTGCAAGTGGAGCTCAGATCACAAGTTTCCTCCACAAATTAATCTTCAGGCATCCAGATATGATGCATGAGAAGCAAGGTGACAGTAAGTCTCTTCAAAGGCCTGCTTGTACCACAGAGATTCTTGGAAGACAAGTGCCCCAGATTAATTAAATTACATCCTAAAACTGAACTGGTAGTAAAGAGTATAGCCAACTGCAAGCAAGAAGTGTGGGGTAAACTGATTTGATTGCACAAGATGAAGCAAATGCTTCTAGTAGGCACCTCACTGTTACATAAAGCCAGCTGCTGAGGAAAAACACCATTAAAAGACCCGGATTTCTAGGTATCTATTTTATAGCTAAAACAGGTAGCAATCTCATGGGTGTAGCAAATGTTGGAAGATTCTTGTATTTCTCATCCTTCATTTACTTCTCAAGACTCTTAATAAAATCACTTGCAGAAGTACTTAGTAATCAAAGTGTCTTCAGAGAGTATGCACATACTAAATATCTAACAATATTTTTTCCAAAGCATATTACTCAGTCTATTCTAAAATAATAATTAAACCTAATATTCATACTTTTTTTCTGCATTTCACACATTGTGCAAAGCTATTATGAGAACCTTTATCACAAGACTTTTCTGATGGCACAGAAAACCAGCATTTTTCAAATAAAAGTAAGAAGCATACAAACCCACCAAGAACCTAAATCCTTAGTTTTGATCCTGGTATCATACTCAGCAGCTTCATAACTTTGGAAGTGCTTAAATTCACTTGCAACTTCACTGCTGGGCTTGAAAAATTCCCCTAGGGTCTGGTTTTCTGTTTAAACACAGTGCTTACCCTGTTTACTTAATTACTTACAACCAGTAAAATCTAGCTTCTGAATAGAGCAATCTAGCTTCTGAATCTCAACTGAGCTTAGGCAAAAAACAATTGCTCATGCCTTCAGAATATTGTACAATATTTTCACAATTGCTCTCTCCTGCTAAGCAAAGTAAGAAAAACTGTAGTCACAACATACCTCTTAGAACTCTCCATTTGGCAAGGCCGGTATGTTTTATAGCAGCTTTTCCTAGCTACCAGAAATTGCTTTACAGACTAGGACAGTCACAGAGCACCAAAAGTCTCACCTGGGGCCCAAAGCAGAACAGCAGTGGCAGACAGTACTGACTGCTCTCTGAAACGGAAAGCCCCTCCCCGAAGTGCTTACAATTTAGAGCAGAACTGCAAATGCATTGTAAGAGCCTGCTACCGTCATACAACTTTCTGGAGATTTTTTAAGTCTTTTTATTAAGCATTCTACAGTCAGACAAAAGTTTACCCTGAGCATTCTTATTCCCAGGTTGCTACTTCTTACAACATAGCTTAGGTCACATTTACCATTTTTATCTGTCTTACCTATTTATGACTTAAAATACTGTTCCGACTTACAGAATATTTTTTTTTTTTACTAAAGAAATATAAAAACATGTCAACATTAAATAATGCAATTAATTTATTACCTGTTATTTCTTCTGCTTTTGCTAGCAACCAGCAATAAAAACCTTAATATTTTCAACTGTGTTTTGAACAGTTAACACCTGAAAGGAAAAAGTACCTTTTAAAGCAGATACCTGAGTGAAGTCTTGCTCAGTCCTCCAGTTATTCTTTGCTAAGGTATAATCTACAAATCGTTTCTTCTAACCAGATAAAAATTATAAGTATTTTAAAGATTAACTGCAATAAATGTTCAATACAGAACAACACTGAGGAATAAAATTTTAGTATGATACCTAAGACACTTGCCGACACACCTTATTAGAAATGATTCGTGTTCTCTGATGTCTGTACCAGCAGCCACACCTACTAGAAAAACAAGTTTTCCTTCTCTTGAGCAAAGCACACAGTTGCCTTCCAATAACTTCATTTAAATTACAAACTTGAGTGTAAGTTGTTGAAGCAAATCAAACCTAGGTGCTCAGGTGATTTTTTTTTATAAGGCTACTTATGTTTCCTTCTGGAAATTAATCCTGCATGTTATCTGCAGTTCACATGCATACTTAAACTAGAAAAATACCCTATGTGTATATATCTGTATTTCTTGGGTAATTTTTTTTAGTACCATACTATAGGCCTCATTAAAATAGGTAAACACAGATTCTGATGAGGAACTGCAAGTGAGATGTGAAACAACAGCAGGTTCTAGCAGAAAAAAAAACACAACTCAAGACACAAAACCACAAAATCTTAAAGAAATATGTAATTACTTGAAGTGTGAAACTCATGGTTTTCCCAACAAGTGACCCCTGACTCTTGATCCCCTAAAATTAACCACACAGCTATACAGTCATAAAGTATATAAAGTCCAATTAATATTAGGAACATTTACATTTCCTTACTATAGAGAGGACTTGACAAATTTCAATTTCAAAAATTTTTCAGTATATTTAAGAGAGTTTATTTTTTAATAACAACAATAATTCATTCAGGTGTTGTGTCTTTTAATTCCAATTACTATTCAAGTAGAACATGATACAAATCACACAGACTTGCTTTAATATTAAATTGAGGCAATGGTATCAATGGCTACTTTGCACCAGTTTTCAGGATTTCCAGTAGTAGTAAAGAACCTTTCTTCCTTCCTATTGCATTTATGGGCTGCAGTCTTATCACTTTCTAGTCTTCATATTTATAACTTTTTCATTTAAAAAGACAGGCTGTTTTAATACTAAGAAACACTTCCCTGACCACCACCTCACTGTGCAGTTGGCCCAGCTTCACCCAGGCCCAGTAGCACAGCAAACTACAAATCTCTCTTCATTGTCCATTTGTATATGACCGTGGCAAATCCTCATCACTGTTGGAGATTTCCTAACATATACTAGGATTTTATTTTTTGCAAATGTGTCACACTGCACAGATACATCTGAGCCTCCCATCAGTGCAAGATTAATCCATCTACCCAGTCTTTCAGCCAACTGAAGTTACACAATGTGTTTTCTTCTGCAACAAGGTCATAATACAGAGTTCTTGTCCCAGTTACAATCATACAATCATTGAATGGTTTGGGTTGGACAGGACCTTTAAAGACCATCTAGTTCCAACCTGCTTTCTGTGGGCAGGGACATCTTTCACTACATCAGGTTGCTCAAATTAAGCACATTTCTCATTTCTTTTGTCACAGTCCTTCTAAAATCTATTCTAAAACCCTGAATATGATCAAGACTACACTTACAAACTCATAATCTTTTTTTCCCCCTTCCTAAACCAAGGAACTGCTCATGCTTTGTTTTGCCACATTGTACCACTATGCCCAAAACACGCTCATTAAACAGCCAAGAAACCAAGTAGATTCTTCAACAGCTTGTCTATCTTCTTAGATTTTTGGAATGGAAATTTTTCAGTATCACTTTCCAAGTGGAATGCTGTTTTAATCTTTGCTGTACAACTTCTATTTTCAGACCTTATTTTCCATAATCTCTTAACCCTTCACAATTAGCATTGTCCCTACTAAAGTGTGGCACAAAATGCTAATTTAGTTCAAGAGACATTTCTAGATCATTATTAATCTCCTCCATATGTTCTCTGCATTGTCACCCTCTTTTGTAATTTCTTTGCTTTTAGACAGCTGAAGACCTTTTATGCTGCTCATTTCAGTATCATAATTTTTTCTAACTCTCAACTTACTACTTTATCTTCTGATCTAGGGTGAGGATGCGGGCAACTGACCAGATGTGACTGCAAAATTTCAGTTGCTAATATGCAGTATTACATTCAGTAGTTCAGGAACAAAAAACAGCCTAATCCTTGGTTTACCCAGGGTCTAATTACGAAGACACTACTAACAAATAGCCTTATTAATTTATCAGTATTGGAAACATTCTCCATCCTCTGCTTCATAGTTTTCACCAAAACCAACAACACAATCCACTGATGTTCAAATAAAAACAAAAATTCCAAAGACTAAGAATCCTTTATCACCTAGATTGTCTGTTGTTAATCTTTTAAAAAGCTTACATTTTTCAGAAAGACTGCATGAAGCAGCAGTGTCCTTCCTCTCTTATATGATACAAAATCAGAAGCATATTGTTTGAAGGATTAAACTGAGGGTAGTGTTATTCCACTATTGTAAAATATTGCTCTAAAAAACCTACATTGGCCACTTCTCTAACTAGGAAGAACATAATTCAGAGCAATATACAGTGTTGCCATACACAAAATTTGTGCCATTACAACCGACAAACCACACATTTCCCTGTACACTTATAAACTTTTTCACTAAAATCCACTGTACATCCCTAAGTCAAATTTCCCCTATTGTAAACAGTTAGAATTTGTGTAATTTGAAAATAAATACATCAGGCAAAATAAAGATTGCATTCCAACACTCAAGTCTGTTATTTCAACCTTTTGTCTTTTACACTGCACTTGTTTTACCTGGGAGAAATCCTAGTATCTCTCAGGGTGCTCTGTTTTGGATTTGCGATCACAACAGAGTTAAAACACAGTGATGTTCTGACTAGTTCTTACACAGTGTGAAGGCTTTCTCTTTTTCTCATGCTGCTCGCAACCTTCCCGTCCCAGGAGTAGGGAAGGTGGCACAAGAAGTTCACAGTGGATACGGCCAGGACTGCTGAACCAAACTGACCAAAGGCCTAGCCCATACCGTATGATACTGTGCTCAGCAATAAAAGCTCAGGGAAGAAGGAGGGTGACATGGCATTATCACAGAATGGTTTGGATTGGAAGATATCTTAAAGATCATCTAGATCCAACCCTCTGCATGGGCAGGGACACCTCCCACTAGATCAAGTTGCTCAGTGCCCCACCCAATGTGGCCTTGAACACTGCCAAGGATGGGACATCCACAACTTCCTTGAGCAACCTGTTCCATGACACTTGTCTTCCCAAGACACCATGACACGTGATGAAGCTCTGCTTTTGTACAAATGGCTAAAAACCTCCCTGCTGATGGGATGTAGTGAATTAATTCCTTATATTGCTTTGGTTGTGCATGCAGCATTATCTCTTAAATTAACTTTATTTCAACCCATTAATTTTCTCACTTTCGCCTGATTCTCTTCTCCACCCCCCTGTGAGGGGGAGGGAGACTTGAGTGAGCAGCTCTGTGCTGCTGAGCTGCCCACCATGTCTCCCGCCCCCACGGGCTCGGGGAGGTTGTTTTGATTCTCTGCGCAGTAGGAGGGACCACAAACACCCTCAGCAGGTTTCAACAAAATAATACTTTACTCAAAACCCCCACAACATACAAAAAACACAGCTGGCAAAAAGGAGCAGAACAAAAACAATCTCGACGGAACTTTTAACAACATTTCTCACAGATGTTGACGACCGAATGGCTCGGCCAACTTACCGCGGTGTTAAGTGTTACCTGTGTGAGCCCCGCCCCTGCTCTACAGGTTTCCCGCCACAGCGTCTGTCTGAGGCATTAACCTGTGCAATGCCGGCACGGGCATTCCACACACGGTTAACCCACAAAACACGCTGAAATCACTCTTTCGAGGACGGCCAGGACTGCTGATCCAAACTGACCAAAGGCCTAGCCCATACCGTATGATACTGTGCTCAGCAATAAAAGCTCAGGGAAGAAGGAGGGTGACATGGCATTATCACAGAATGGTTTGGATTGGAAGATATCTTAAAGATCATCTAGATCCAACCCTCTGCATGGGCAGGGACACCTCCCACTAGATCAAGTTGCTCAGTGCCCCACCCAATGTGGCCTTGAACACTGCCAAGGATGGGACATCCACAACTTCCTTGAGCAACCTGTTCCATGACACTTGTCTTCCCAAGACACCATGACACGTGATGAAGCTCTGCTTTTGTACAAATGGCTAAAAACCTCCCTGCTGATGGGATGTAGTGAATTAATTCCTTATATTGCTTTGGTTGTGCATGCAGCATTATCTCTTAAATTAACTTTATTTCAACCCATTAATTTTCTCACTTTCGCCTGATTCTCTTCTCCACCCCCCTGTGAGGGGGAGGGAGACTTGAGTGAGCAGCTCTGTGCTGCTGAGCTGCCCACCATGTCTCCCGCCCCCACGGGCTCGGGGAGGTTGTTTTGATTCTCTGCGCAGTAGGAGGGACCACAAACACCCTCAGCAGGTTTCAACAAAATAATACTTTACTCAAAACCCCCACAACATACAAAAAACACAGCTGGCAAAAAGGAGCAGAACAAAAACAATCTCGACGGAACTTTTAACAACATTTCTCACAGATGTTGACGACCGAATGGCTCGGCCAACTTACCGCGGTGTTAAGTGTTACCTGTGTGAGCCCCGCCCCTGCTCTACAGGTTTCCCGCCACAGCGTCTGTCTGAGGCATTAACCTGTGCAATGCCGGCACGGGCATTCCACACACGGTTAACCCACAAAACACGCTGAAATCACTCTTTCGAGGAGTTACACATTCTTAAATCTAAAAGGCTTCAAACAATTCAGCTATACAATTAACATAGACCCTTGACTCACCGTTAAGCGGTTAGCACCACCAATGAAAAGTGGTGCTACAGCTGACCACCATCTTATTTCCTATTCCTTGAATGGAAGTAAAATCCAGCGCCTGTCGAGCCTCTTCTGCAAGTGACGCCCGTTACAGGATCCTAAGCAGGAGCCGTATCCGACCACGCGTCCCTCCCTGTTCCGCCAGCC